CCAAATCCACAACAAAGAGTTACAGACTTGTATCTATTTTTAGTATCAACCATCTCATTTACCAGAATGAGCCATATTTACAATCACCGGTCAAATGTTCTCAATCCTAGCACACTGGCTCATAACACTTTTTTAGGTAGACTTTTTAAAAAGTGCCTCTGCTGCTACACTTACTGAAACAGGTATGGCAAGAACACGCTTTTGAAGAGAGCAAATCCCAAAGCAAAAGTCTCAAGGTTGTTTTCTTTACAAGTTTGCAGTTGTCCACAAAGACTTCATTTGGCCATGCCTCAAATCTAAAAAGGATAAAACACCTCCAACATTAACCAGATGTGACTGTCAGATATTTCAGAAAAGAGGTTCAGTTTATGGTTCCTAAATTGTTAACCTCAAGCTTCCAAGACCCTCTGCCTTAACAGTGAAGATCCCTGTTAGATGCCTCAGGAGGCCTAAAAGTGGTCTGGAGTGAGACCAAGGCAGGTGAAAGAGAAACTAGGAGGAAGAGCATCTCCCACCTGTGTTTTAACCAGGGCTTTCCTGAGTTTATCCATTTTACATATTATTTTATTAGATAACCCCTAGTGATTTCATTTGAAGGAAGAATTCCAAATGTTAAAAAAAAAAATGTTGAAAACTTCTATCCTAAGATAAATGCCCTCGATCATAAAATCAGCCCACAAGGAAATCACTGAGCTGGATAACTGAGGACAGTCATCACTAGTCAGTTCTTCCACTCCCAACCAGTTCCCTCTGATGATAATCCAGGGGAATTAACAAAGCAATTTTGTTCTAGCAAATCTAGAAAAATCCAGTTTCCTTATGTTATAAAATACATGACATAAAGTCTACTAACCAAACAACCCTTTATTTTGGCAAATTTGTAGACCACAAAATGTGATTGTGAGCTACCACTACTCACAGGGGAGATTCATGGTGTTACAGAGCAAATTCCAGGGCTCTGCGGAATAAAGAAATCTATTTTCAGCAGGGATTCTCAGCCAGAAGTGTCTTCCCACTAAGAAGTGTGTGAAATGCCTGCCATCACCATGACTCCTGGTGAGGAGAGGTAAAGCATGTCAACACCCTCCAGCCAAAGACCACGAAGAACACATTTGCCATTGACAAGCTGGTTTATTACATGTTGCACAGAGGGAGAGTGCACACCAGAGGGAACCCTGAGCAGCTCAGTAAGACAGTGTTAGAAAGAACCTATTAATAGGATTTGGGCTTTGGCTGGGTAATTTAGGGGAGGGTATAGAGAAGTGGGGCTTTATTCTAGATTGAACACTTTCAGAAAGCAGAGACAATTCCAAATTCAGATTGAATATCTCAATAATTCTTCCCTATAAGTAGGGTAGAGTAGAGCAGGAATAACACGTAATTGGAAAAGAATTAACAGCCACTCATAAAAAATAATCTTGGCAAAGAACAAGGAAAGGTCACGCTGGACAGGAAAAGACATTATTCTTGGCCATATTGAGTAAGAACCATGGTCAATTCCTTTGCACAGAAAAGACTTTGATGTTGATTTCAGGAACCCACAGAATATATGAGTTATTATGCATATCTATGTCTAGGTCACATTCTAGACCATGGTTCTGTATATGTCCCTCAAGGCATTTTTCTGTCATCTTCATTGTTAAAGTACCTTTCCTGTGATCATTCCACACAGTTACCTGGAATAGGTGGACTCTACCTGACTATTTCAGTCAAGTTTCTGATGTCCAGAGGGGTAAAAACAGAAAAGCGTCACTGCTTGCACTTCAAACTATCTGTGGTGAAGAAGTTTCTCTTCCCCCTAACTGGTTTCAGACTGATATTTTTGTAAAATACATTAAAAATTAATCACTAGAAAAATAAAATGAAAAACCAAGTCACAAAACACCAGCCCCAATTTTTTTTTTTTTAATTAGAGCCAACACACTTAGAGCCAAAAACACTTAGTCTCACTTTCCATATTTATCTTGTCACAAACCTGAGTCTGTGGACACACTTTGAGCAGCACTGCCTTTTTAAAATTAAGTTAAAGCATTATGTTTAATACAAATTAATTCTGAGTGTGCATCCATTTCAAACTCACATAGCATGTCACACATAAGAGAAAAAAAGAGGCAAGGAATTTCACGCAGGGAGAAGGCCTGGCTATGAACTATCCAAGCTTAGTGAAAAATAAACACCTGTGGCTGCTCTGTATGTGCAACAACTTCAAAGGCCACATGTAGAAAATCAGATCACTGGAATCCTGTCTATACCAGTCTAAAATTAACCTAATCGGGAGGATTAGATTTCCCATCCAGGTAGGGCTTCCACGGCATTTTTCTTCCATATCAGGAGACTTGACTATATACTTGGTTGACTATATACACGGCAATTTTCCCTTTGGTATTTTTAGGCCAGAAGTGGCTGTACTTTCTAATAAGACAACTTGGATTTGATTATAATCCCAGAGCCTCCCAGGGCAATGGCTTTAAATCCCATCAGATTAATCCTTGGGCATTTATGTTATCTCAATATCCCTGCTTTCCTTTCTAAGGTCAAGAAGGTCAAGCTTAAATCCCTACATAGCAAGTTAAAGGAACAAAAAGCATTTAGGAATCAGCTAATCAGTCAAATTTATTTACATTCCCATCAATTAAACTTCCTACTTCATCTCTGCTAAGAGCTTATCCTGTCCAATGTAATTCTGCAATTTTAAGAATTTGTCCCCAGTTTAATGAGTAGTGAAGTAGCGCTGGTGTTAGCCCTCCAGTTTGTTGATCTGTTCTCCACAACCCTGCTTCTCCTCCTGCCATCATCTTCCTTCTTTCTCCACAGCTGTTGTGAGCTGGAAACTCTAGAAAAGCCTTCTGTTTCTGCATACCCACACGGTCAGCACTGCCTGCTATCAGCTGGACCTGATCCTTTTCCTGGATCAAGCTCAAGGCCTGGGCCACTTATCTCTGATTCAAAACTCTGTCTCATTCATAAAATCTCTCCAGAGGATACTTCCCTTAACCACAATTTTTTAAGTTAAACAGGATTCTAATACATTTGTAGGTATCTATATATAAATATGGATATAGATGTATTTGCCAGATTTTTTCACATTTAAATTCTATGGCAAATTTAACATCTTTGAGTTCCATGAGGCTGCTAACCATGATTATCCCCTTTCACCAGTTCACAGTGCCTGGAATAGTGGATGGCCCATAACTGACTTCCTACAGATATCTTTTCATTAATTAATTAATGGATCAAAGAATGGGACAAATGAATACTTGTAGTGTACACATACACACACTATATCAATAGATACAATGTAGATAGTTAACGTCATATCTTAAAAATGAGAAATTAACCCTAATAATTAATGTTCATTTATACTTTATATTTTCCTCTTCCTTATAACAACTTATTATTGTCCCAGATTTCTGTACATATGATAACATAATTTGACACGTACAGTAAGAAAAATACTGATTGCGAAGTCAGGTCTAAAAAAAAAAATCACTGTGATAATCTATTAAAATAATTTCCTTGCTTTTGCCTTCCTTAAACTGATATTCAAGCCAATATCCCAAGTTTCAAATCTTAACTGAGGAGATAAAAAGTACATAATTTTTTATGCAATAAAACTGAAAAATAAGAATGAATCAAGTTTGATACATGATATATTTTACTTAAAAGTATTATAAAGCAGTACCTTTGCATATAATTTATTCCCTTTTATATCTTAGCAATATTGAACTAAGCTCTCTCAGTGAATACTTTAAACTTAGTTTTCTAGAAAGTGATTTTTTTATTTTTTTTCAGTGACTTCGTTAATTCAGGTGTATTCAATGTTTGTGTAGAATGAGAAGAATTTGAGAGATTCCTTATATCCTCAAACCCCAGAACACGGTCCGGCACCAAATATGAGAGTATGGATCCTAAATGGATGGTGTCCCACTTGGAGACTCGGATCTGCTACACACACTCTATTCAGTTTTCTGTGCTGGCTTTTAAAAACCTACCAAACATCAAGAAGCAGTACAGCACTACAAAAATAAAGCCTACAACAATGAACTCATGAGCACTTAGTACAACATATGGTGTCATAACTCCTTTGGGGTGCACTTATGCATACAGAGGACAACAGCGGAATATTCAAAGTATTGCTGGAGGACCAGCCAAGGTAGAATAACTATAAGCAGGAATGTAAGAAATATTTTGAGAACTCCGAGAAAAGTGACAAAACAAAGAGAATACCTCTGAACTCCCAAGAAACAGCAGCCTGGCAACCATAGAAAGAAAAATGGTTGTTCTTTTTGAACAAAGACTTGGAGTCAACTGTGAATGGAAGAGGCATAAACATTGACATACTTTTCAAATAACATCTGGAGATACAAAAAATATATATACATATATTTCACACTTGCAGAGTTAGTAAAGACCAGTCACTTACTATTGGTCTCAACTACAAAACTGAAGAGCAATATATAGGTATTTTATTTGAAAATAAAGGAAAAAATGAATCAAAGCCACCATACAGAGAGAACTACCTCTCATGTTCATAAAGTAATGCTATTTGAACAAATTCTGACAGAGGATCAGCCCATTTCCCATTTTAGCATTCTGTGGGGAAGCAAAAGAATGCTTTCAAAATACTTTCTTTAAGAAGATATCCAAAGTTTCCACATAAGTGAAATACTATCATTTTGGAGGAATCTTGTTTCTTTAGAAAGCTTTAAGAATGCTTTGAAAGAAATAAGGAAATAAAATTCCCCAATGTAACACAAGTGAAAATATAAGCAAAAAACACTAAAACAGTTGTCTTTTGTTTCTTGGAATAACGTTGTCTTCATGTCAAAATTAAGCCAAGGCACATACCTTTGACAGTAAAATGCTTTCTAATGCTTCTTCCTGCGCTTAAAACATAATAATGAGGCTTCCTTTCCCCCTCTACCTCCCAAATCATGCTGAACCATGCTGTACTCCCAAATACCTGCAAACATATACACACAAGAGGGAATGAGTCTTACCAGACCATCACAGTTGCTAATGGCAACAGAGGTTCCTGGAATGTCCATGATGTCACCAACATAAGCACAGTTAGTCTGCAAAGGCTCTGTTTTCCAGATTCTTTCTGAAGCAACTCCTGGTTGATGAGCATTAACAGGGTCGGTTATATTCCCAGGCACCAGAGATGTCTCCTGCCATTCCACAACTGCCCCAGGAGCTACTAGCTGAGTGTTGGGCTTTAGTCGCAGATGAAAATCTCTTCCAAAGGCTGTGATGTTAAAGAACAATTGCTCAGAGTTGGAAGACACGTCCCTCGTTGACCTCTTTTTGTGATTTGCAGAAAGAATATGGGAGAGATAATGTCCTTCAAAATTTGTGCTGACTGGAGTCACCAGCTCATACTCTCTATGTCTCTTTATTGGTAAATCTGTGGGGTGAAAAATAGAATTGTAGAATCCTGTGCAACAAGAGAACACAGGAGGACATAACATAGGCGTAAAGCGCCCACCTCACAAAACTCTGCCTCGACTTGCATAATAAATATATTCCCGAATCATCTCATAAGTATTAAATTTTGAGAACTCAAATCATGTCTCAACTGCGCTTAGGTAACTCTGTGTTCAATGAAACATTTTTTTATTTTTAAAAAAAGTTTATTATAATGTGAATATTCAAGTCTTATTTTTATGTCTAAGAACATGAATATAGTAAGTTTCCATAAAATATATCTGGCTTGCTTATAATCAAAACCTACCTCCAATTAATTAATTATTAGCATAACTGACACCTGCTACAAACTTTTAACAAAGTTGCTATTAGAAGAAATTTTTTTCTCATTGTTTTAATTTTTTCCCTGTAAGAATGCTAGAAGTTATAGTAATTGCAATAGCCACTTTATGTTGCATCTACCATAGGCCTGTAATTTATACACTATATTTTATGGTGCTGCAGCTTACACACATTCTTCCATCATAACAACCCTAACAATCATACTTCCCAGGTGAGGAAACTGAGATTCAGGAGGTATGTGTCCAAGGTCAAATAAGATCCAAGGTCAACTGTGAAGTTCAGATATGGGTCCAAGTCATACTCCAAAGCCCATATGCTCATTCTGCTCCTCATGTCATGCCACATAAACCACAGAACATTTTCAGAAAATGAGGAGAATGGGTTAAAAAAAGGAAATAATAATCTATAAATTGAATATGCAGGTACTGGTTAGTCATGAGCAAAGGGCACTGGCATTTTGCACCGTATTCCTTACATGGGACAGATACTTATTTAAATGTGAATGTGTATTTGGGGTCCACCTTACAACATGAGTGGACACTTACATGTTACACTGAATTTCACAATTAGAACTTAATTCCCCTACTTTAGCCCAATTTGAGTATTGTGTCTGCTGAAAGGCAAACATCCTTGGGAAATATAACAAACTGAATTAACTATTTATCCCTTAATAGAAGTGATTTTGAAGGCAGAAGACAGTGGATACTGGAGAAGGAAATGAGGAGGGCAACAAGGATGAATAAAGCAATCATAGAAAGGAAAATCTGAGACCATGAATTAAAAAGTTCCCCACCTTCGTAATTTTAGCCTAAGGCTAGTCCTGTAGTGTTAAAGGACCCTGAAAAAATTATATGATTCACAAACACTGCTCAACTATAAAAATTACATGTATGTCATCCAAAAAATTAGAGTATGAGAACCATAAATGAACCTACAACCTATGTTCTTCAAGTATCCCTCTAGAATCACTATGTTTTCACTATTTCCCTGCTTTTTAAATACTTCAAACGATGGGTAAAATACCAGAAGATAAATGAACGTATTTTGCAACCAGGAAATTCCTTGAGTGCATGTTTATCATTATGCCACTTATAACGACCAATGTATTTAAATAAAATATCTCCCTTTATTCAATGCACAGAGCAAGTAACATGGGTGTAAATATTTACTAGGCAGAGGAGTGAGGACTGTTGTATCACAGAGTCAAGAGAAGCCTGGCTCCAACACTGGGAGCAGCAACAGCACAACCCCAGCTTCAGAGGCCCTCTATATCACAGCCGACGACTTACCCCAGGCATTAGGGTAGGCACAGACACAGAGATTCAGTCTCCTTTACAACCAATCCCTGGTGAATACTTTTGAAAATTCTGACTTAGAGAAAAAACTCAAAATTTTAGGGAAGGAACTCAAATGTCACAGGAGCAGAGTGTGGAGGGGAAAGTTTCCAGAGTAAGGGATAAATAGGGCTCTGGATGTGGACGGATGAAGCCTATCCCAAATTAATTCCTTGAGGCTAAGGAACTCCCCATTCGACTTGGTACTCCCCATATCATCTAATACAAGATTTTGCACCTGCCAGGGTCTCTTGTCAATAGAATTCATTTAATACGTATTAAGTTAGTAATGGAGGTAACTAGAGAACCTTTGCTTTGTCTCTGCTGCTCCACACTCTGACTTACTTACTGCCCAAGGCCCGTGAGCATCTGGCTGCACCAATAATCCCAGTTATAACTCTTTCTCTAACCGTCAGTTTTCTGTTTCAAGGGAAGGAGAAAGCAATGCTTAATTTTAATGTATGGATTTCCCATCTCCACTGAAGGGAACTCACACAACCAAAGTCTAGACAACATACTGATGCCTGGATTAAGTGACTGGAAGAATGCAGGGAGGCTCCTCCACACCCAAGAGGATATCCAGAGCCTCGTGCTTACAGTAAACCATGCATCCTAGATTCTCTGGGACAGTTCCACTTTTCCGCTGTCACAGAATATGCTCTGAAATTTTATTCAAAATAAAGATGGTGTAGTTCTACAGAGCTTTATTTTCTCTAATGCTAAATAATAAATCATCCCCAAAATGTACACAGAAGAAACATTTCTGAAATTAAATCCTGAATGAGTTACTTTCCAGTTGGGAATTAAGGTAACCAAGGGAAAGGAGGTACTTAGTAACCCCTCAGGCTACCATCCCCCAGAAAGTAGTTAATGGAACTGACAAAGGAGCTACCCAGTCACCTGCCATGTCTTAGCAGAATAAATACTGAGCACTGTGCTTTGTGCTTGAGAACATACCATCTCTAATTCTCACAACAATCACAGAAGATGGGTATTACAATCCCCAGTTTATAAATGACAAAGTAGGTCTAGAAGGCCTGAGACACAGAAAGAAAGAGCCAAGGGAAAATTTCAATTCTGATCATTTTGACACTGAAGATCATATTCTTATGCTCTTATTCACTTCAGAATAGATGGAACATCTTGCTGTCAATTTCTAATTTAAGATCTGACTTATAAAGGAAAACTCCTACAAGAATGATGACATTCTGCCTACCCGCAGCCAGCCAACCAATTTTTCCTCTAGTGTAGCTTCAAAATTTTCTGTAAAAAGGCTCTTAAATTCTTGGTCTTTGGGAGGAAAAAAAAAAAGGTGGTGGGTAAAGTTCAAAATTGTCAAAAGTATTTAATCTCAGATTACAATCACATAAGCAGACTAAATTATATGCAATGTTAATTCACTGCATTCAGAAATTACACATTTCACAGATCCAAATACTTCCATAAAGCAATAGAGCCCATGGTGAAGGAATGAACTACAGTGGTAGAAAGCAGCAAGTTAAGTCAATATATGAAGTTGAACATGTTCTTTATTTTTTCTTAGGTTCGGTTTCCTCAATTCTTAACTGGAGGTTAGTCATAGTTCCGATTTCATGGGTTTAGTGAGAGGTTTAAATGAGATTATGCAGAGGATTCAGTAAATATTAGCTATTCTGACTTAAATGTAAGTTAGCTACTCATTAAAATAATGCTCACATGAAATTTTAAAATGTGAAACTATACAATTGTCAGCTGAGATGGTTGAAGGGCCACAGCAATAGGTCTGTAAAGGTTTTTGTGGGCCATAAATTCCACAAGCACAGAGGGCTGGGGCCACTGTAAAGCCACACTGTGGTCACTAATTACCCAAGCCTGACTTGGATGCAGTGAATTTTCCACAACTCTCTGGCATTTGTGCATACATGATCCACCTCCCTCCTAGTAGTATGGATGAACTGTCTACAATCCTACCCATGAGGAAACCTTTCACTGTGTATCATACCTTACCCCTTCCTGCCTTTGCAAGAACGGCTTCAGCAATAACCCTCTCTCTCTTTCCTTATGAATTTCCCCCACATCACTAGATCAGCCCCATCAGCAAATAAATAAACTGCCATATTTCCTGTCTTTCACAAAAAACCTTCTTGAGGCCACATCCACTTCCAGCTAATCCTCCGTTACTTCACTCCCCTTTATAGCAAAACACTTCAAAAGACTGACATTAGATGTCTCCAATTCCTCTCTTCCATTCTTGTTCCTTCTTGAACCCACTCCAATCAAGCGCTTGTTGAGGTCACTATTAACCCAATGTTGCTGAAACCAATGGCCAAGAGCCTCCATCTTCCTTCTTTCCCTATCCGCAGCATTCTGATCCAGTTTATTCTCTTTCCTTCCTAAAGTACTTTATTTAGCTTCCAGGACACCATTCTCTTCTGGTTCTCCTCTTTCTGCATCGGTCTCCCCTTCTTATTCTCCCTCCTCAAGTCCCTTTATTCCCATGACTGTATACACTGCAGTGCCGTAGGACCTAGTCCCAGGACTCTTCTCTTCTGCATCTACCCTCTCTAGCCTGATAAGCGCATCCTACCTGGTGACTTTAAATGCCTTCACACTCATATATCTATCTCCAGTTCGGGCTTCATCCATGAGCTCTTCTCTTCGCAATTCAATTGCCTATGGATCCTCTCCATGTGAATATCCACTAAGCATCTCAACTTAACATTTCCAAAAGTAACCTTCCTCTCTTCCTGTCCCCAAATCTCCTCCTTGCCCATGTCAGTAAATGGCAACTCTATTGTTCCAGTTACTCAGACCAAAAACTTGACTAAACCATCCTTAACTCTTCTCAGACCACACACCAAATCTTTTAACAAATTCTATTGACTCTACCCTCAAAATATCTCCAGACTCTGACCACTGCTCCCCACCTCCTCAGCTACTACCCTAGTCCAAGCTACTACCATCTCAGTTTTGAATGAGCCTCATAACCATTCTCCTTGTTTCTGCTATTCTCTCAAGGTTATAGGTTATCCTCAAAACAGAGCCTGAGTAATTAAAGCAACAGATCATGTCACTCTTCTTCTCAAAACCCATTCCACTCAGAGTAAAATGGCTCACAAGGCCCTACAGCCTGGCACTGGGCATTCTTACAACTCAAGGCATTGTGTTTGCTATTTCCTCTGCCAAAGTGTCTTCCCTCCAGACAGCTACACGGCTCACCCCACAATTCCTTCAAGTCTCTGCTTAAACGTGACCTTCCCAGTGAGCTCTGTCCTGACCACCAGTAACCATCTCAACACTCTCTATCTCCCTCGGCATTTTACTT